ATGATAAAACGGCGCTGCTTTACCCCACATACGCACGACCGGAAGCAGCGGAAGCGCTCGACTGTGGCATAATAAAAGCTCCGCTGCTTTCGAGCCGTGTGTCGCACTCGTTCAGTGGCCTCGTTTCGCTTCGGCGGCTTCCAGCCTCACCCTGCTTCATTCTACTACGTTAATAAATCATTAGCTCATCCAGGAACATGATTTCTGCCCGAGTCCCGTCGGATTGCGTCGGCTGTGGGGATGAAGACGACAACTCCCATGATTCCACACTCAGTCACGGCGTCATCTAACTATGCCTTTGCTTCTTTGTTTATTTTGAATACGCGTCTTCTAGCGGTGAAAATTACATATTGTGCCTTTAATATAAAAAAAGTTATATTTTTGGCAAATGTAAGAGCCCTTTCACACCAAAACTGAAATGCAAGCTCGCAGTTCTGACTTTTTTCTCAAAATTGCGTGACAGAAACTCGCAGTTGCAGTTTTAAAGTCAGTATAAAGTATAAAGTCAGTAGGCCACTGCGTGATATAAACTCGCAAATGCAAGAAAAAAAACTCAGAATTGTGAGATATAAAGTCAGAATTGCAAGATATAAACCGACAAGCCTCAAGATAGCAATTATGACTTTATTTCTTGGAATTGCGAGTTTATATCCCACTATTCTGACTTTATAAGTCACAATTACAATTTTTGTTTTTTATTCAGTGGCAGAAATGGGGATCAATCATCAATCAATCATCCCAACGTGATTATCGGCCGATAGTGATTGGTAGCCGATCAATCGGAGCACCCCTACCCAAAACCAATTCAAAATTGAGCTTCAGAGATGTACTGCATTAATAAAACGGAACCAAGTGCAATACAATAAAAGACACCACGATTCAATAACTAATTACATTTTATTTTATAATAAACCATTTTCCTGATGTCGATAATCTCAAAAGAGCCTAGTGACTCAATGAAGATCATAAACGATTCACGTTAACGCAACAGAAGGCGGCGTCTAGGACAAAATAAAAATCCTGTGTAAATCTTGAATAAAGGCAGGTTATAAAGCTCAGATTTCAGGTGCTTTTCAGCACTTAAATTAGAAATGGGGAACTAAGATGAAAATAACTTGAGCAATGACTCTCTAATGCACACAGCATAAATCAGAGCGCCACCACAATGATCAGTGCTTATGCACAATTCATAAAGAGAACCATAAACCCCTAAAAACTTGCAAAAAAGTCAGGTACTTTCCAAACACACATTTCTGGAACTGAATTCTCATTTCTAGAACTGTAAAGGTTTTCGACAGCAAAATGCTTCCACTCACTCAAACATTAGCACTTGCGGTTTTGCATTGCAAGCTTTCTGGGTTTGTTTTTATACTCGATTAATGCACACAGAGAATACAACTACCACACTGAACTAACAAGAAACAATGCAACAGTCGCATTTTCTGCACATGCATTGAAAGGATATACCCAAGTTTGGTCAAGCCGTAAAGTGGCATCATTTTGCATGACGATCTTTGTTTTGAATGCTGTATCGACAAATCAGCATCCAGGACTGCAAATATCCGTTAAGAATATTTACAGTCTTGGAGCCCCGGCAGAACATCAGACCGTCTTTGGCAGTGCACTGTGATATTCTGGCAGAAACTGCTGTTTTGGACTTAATGGAAACAGACGCTGCCAAATGGCAAGAGACAGTATTTTGCGCGAATTGAACTCGATGATGTTACATTAGTTGTAATGACTTGAAGTCTTTGAACCTGTGGAAAAGCACCTCGGACCACTCCATCGACGCCAAGAGCACTGGCAGACCTTGAATTATTAATGCAAAGTGTACATTTTCATGGCTTTCGTGCATGTGCGGCTGAATTTCTGATCACTAACGGTGCAAATGTCAATGCTGGCTCACGTTAAGGAAGACGACGGTTTTTCCACAAAGATTTTGAGAGGACTTGAGCAGTTTGACGGCAGGAATGAGGAAAGACACTCGAGGGATGATTCTGCCCTTCAGCAAACTAAACGGGACATCACAATTACTGTGGTAGGATGACAAACTGACACCAAAACAAATCAAGCTGCTGTTCTTTCCTGATAACTGACCCTCGCTCTACCAAACTGCTTTATGAAAGCAGTGCTGAAAACAAAGTTTTTGATCTGTCAGTGTGTGCGTGTTCTCTGTTCACTCAACAAAGACAATTCTACCATTATTTACTCAAACAAAACAATAGGGTATGACTTTTCTGAGAAATTTTGAATAACATACTTTTTTGAATCCAACAGTTAGCTTCCGGAAGTAAAAAATCCCATTCATTTTCTCCAAAGGTGGAAATTATTTTAGGTCTGTCTTTAACTTATAAACCATTAAAGACAGACCTACTGTGAGCTACAAGGTTGTTAATTAATGGTATATATGTTTCTATTAAAGCCATCAGCCAGCAATAATTAAACTTCTTTTTTTTTAAATAATCATGTTTAATATTAAAATTTGCAGTGAAAAACTGTTAACCGTGATTCTACAAAGAAATATCCAACCAGGGACAAGTAAATCACACCAAAACAACCACCAACTCCCAGGAAGGATTGCAATTGACCAAATATAAATGCATTTTTTGCAGTAAACGTAAAATTAATTGGTTCAATCTAAATACATAATCAACATCTTTAAATAAATAGCTTTAATTTCTCTATTGTTTTTAATTTGATTATATCATTGCTTCATAGGATTGCGGTCCTTTCTCTCATTAAAGCCATTAAGTTCACAGCCTTGTAACTTTGTCTTTTTGTCTGATTTGGTTTGTGGATTACAACTCTTTAACAAAGACTTTTTAAAAATCCCTATGGGAAAAATACTTCCAGAACCAAGGCCGCTGAAAAAATGGGAAACGCTTTTGTGCTCTATAGGGACTGGAGATTTTAAGCTTCAAAATGACATAAAAACACCTTAAGAGTATTAAAAGCATCATAACAGTTGTCCATATGAGTTGTGCGACAGTAAAGCACAGCGCCAGCAACACCAAGGTCATGGGTTAAATTCCCAGAGAATGCATGAACTGATCAAAAGTAGACCTTGAATGCAACGTTGGCCGTTTTAGATAAAAGCATCTGCATGCCGCATAAACGTAATGTTATATAATATGCACTACATTTCAAGTCTTATAAAGTCATATGAAAAATTTGGGTCTGTTCGTCATACAAAGCTACCATATGACTTCAAAAGACTTGGAGTATGTAGTGCATGAGTCGTATGGACTGCTGTTATGAAACATTGTCATTTTAGAGGCTAAAAGCCCAAATATTAACCTTTTTGTGTTCAACTGAAGTCATGGTTGTAACAAAAAGAGGGTGAGTAAATAATGAATATGGGAACATGCGCGATGTCAAACCCAAAACGCATTGACAGGATTTGTTATAACAGATTTTAGTGAATTCAGCAAATATTGCAGCAAAAATTGTGTATACTTTTCATTAGTGCTGGGTGGTATACCGGTTCATACCGAATACCGGTTTTTATTTTTGTTATGATATGAATTTTATAGTGTAGATGCGTGTTGATTTTATCAGACGATGCCGCGATTATAAATGAGAGTGACTCCTGGTTAACATGTATTAAAAGGGGTCGTGTTTAGTCACTATTTAGTGTGGTATTTTTTGACAATATTCACTCATCATCACCACAGTAAAATAGGGCATTCTAAGTCAATATACTGCAGTATTTCCTCTCAATCAGTAGAAAATATGGTTAACACCCGGTCATGCATGAAAAAAAATACCGTCGTGTACCGTGAAACCAGTATAATTTTGAAAAATACCGTGATATAAATTTTTGGTCATACCACCCAGCGCTACTTTTCATTTTATACCATTGAATTGCTTTAAACAAATCAACCACCTGCTCTCTAGATATCAGCCATTAAAACCCATATCAGTCACTCATGATTATACCAAGGTGGTGCCTTCCCTCACAAAAACTAGGTTGCACCATGGAACAGTTATGGTACCATCATGGTTTTTTTATTTATATGGTACTAAAATGTATGTATCCTGGTATTTTTAAACGGTTCTCCAATGCACTTCCAAGAATACCATGACACAATCATTGTACATGTCCAAAAACATGGTAATACCATACTACCACACTTAATAATTTCCATACACATGCACTGTTGCACTTAAGCAATTCGAATGTACTTCATGAATACCATGGTATTATCATATTACTTTGAGAAATACAGTGAGTGTGTGTGAATGTTTTTCTGCTCAACACACACACACACACACACACACACACACACACTCACACACACACAAACAAACACACACACTCACACACTCACTCACACAAACACACACACACACACACTCACACAAACACACACACTCACTCACACAAACACACACACACGTTGTTTAGCCGCTTTAGCTTTTGTAAGCACGAGTTCATCACACACACACTCGACTAACTGATCAAACCGACACACAAATCAAGCCCAACAGATCAATCACTACCCTCTCATCAACAAAAACACAAATATCACCTCTGTCGCTGTCAAATATGATTTTTATACCGCTCAAAAACACTCGAGGTGCGCTAGCAGAGCTAACGGCAGATATGACAAAGAGCAGTAGCGTTAGCATTAGCATTCAGACTGATTTACTCGTATAGACATATCTGAACAAAACAATAACAAGTACCTCAATAATATACATGTTTGACACATTAGACATCAACAACACATCTGAGATATGCCGAGGTAGCTCAAATAACCAAATCCAGCGAAACGCACAAAAACCATAGAGAATACAAAAACAAAACATATTTACACTATTTCAATAAACATAATGAAATAAATCAGTCTTGGTTCATTACCGTGACATTTCAGGCATGCAAACCTGCCATGAGGTCAATGCAGTGCTAATCCTGACGGCTAAAACTAGAGAATAAGTGGCAGCACCAAAAAATTCCTGCACTATATACATAAAATGTAATAAACATGCACACTCACCCCCCCAGAGGATCCAGCCCGATCTAGATGCATCCCATAGATCACAAAAACAACTAAAATACCCCTCCAAGGAAATGTGCTGGGGTTACACACACACTCATACGGACTCATACACACACATACACCCATGCGCACACACACACATTCATACACACACACACACAGATCCAAAGACAGGCCGGTTTCACTGGACTGCAGCCATCGGAACAGTTCAGATCCACTCCAGATCCAGGACAGCCAGCGGAAAAAGCAGCTGGAAACACGACATTTCAAGTGTCCTCAATTCTCAACGCGATAGATCCCCAGCGATCAGACTCAGAGTATATGTCCCAAACACACGCAGAGAGAATCAGCTGCAGACCTTTGCTTTGCTTCCACTAGAGCTCTAATGGCTCTTTACGCTTGTTTGCATCTCTCACCGCGAGACATTGAACCACTGCAACCCAACATGAGCTCATTCACAGCCTGGATACACGAATCCACCTGGAGCGGATCGACTGAGAGAAACTCGGAGCTGGAGGCAGAGCTCTGGATTGAGATGCAGGGAAGTTTAAGACAACTTTACACACAAATGTACTTCATGCAACAATGATTATTTGTGTATGTAAGCTCAAAAAACAACATCAACACCATAAGTTTACTCATTAAACACACAAATGTTCTTCATACAGCACTATTTATTTGTTTATTTATTTGTGTAGTATTAAAAAAGACAATACCAACATATATGTTCACTCATCAAACATACAAAAATACACCATGCAGCAATGTTTACTGGTATATTTATTTATTAAGAGATAAAAAAAAAAAAAAAAAATATAAATGTCAGAAATTTATGGGTGCACAAAACGTTCCTAGAACATTAGGAATTAGTTAAAGTTATGGGACCCATACCCTAACGTTAGGGTATCGTTCTGTGATTGGTACTTTTCTGCTGAGTCACGTCGAATAGACGAAGTAATCTTGACGTAGGGAGGATAGATTACTTCGATATATATATACACAAACAAAGAAAAACAAGTAGAATAGAAAGCTAGAGTTTTTTTTTTTTTTTTTTTTTTAAAAAAAAAAAAAAAAAAAAAAAATATAAATGTCAGAAAATTGTAAAAAAAAAAATATATAAGTAATTCAAAAAAGAATTAAAAATATAAATCTATAAAACTACAAATATATCTGTATAATCTATCTAAATGTATAATTATGCATTATGCATGTTTTTATACAATTATTTCAGCCTTACAAATTTATAATAATCACAAAGTCTTTGCAGTGACATACCTGTACAAATCACAAATAAATAAAATGTCTAATGTGTGCGTGTGTGTGTTGTTAATTTCTCTCTAACAAAAGCACTTTAAAATCTGTTAATTTTATTTATTTATTCATTTTTATTTATTTATTTATTTGCTCCAGAAAATAAAATATAGATATAAAAATATAGGTAATAAAAAAAAAAAATATATATATATATATATATAATTATACATTAATTCATGTGTAGAGAGAGAGAGTATATTTTATACACATTGTATACGTTCTCTGTAACAATGCACTTAAAAATCTGGACATTTTTTATCTATCAATCTATTGGCACAAAAGTATAGACAGAAAAATAATGAGCCTATGACATACATCATGTATGTACACTTTTCATTTCTTGTATTTTATAATTTTATATTTCCCTAGATTTTCAGTCACTTATGGCATGTTCCACAGCAGAAATCATTGACTAAGTCTGAAGAATACAGAGCATTAAACCAAAGCAACCAGTCCGGCTTATATCAGCAGCAGCGTTTTTATTACTCCCAACAGATCTCTTTCATCGATAACCTCACACTGCATAACTGTGAAGCCAGATGTCATATCTGATGTCTGTCATCCAGCAGCAGGAACATAGAAAGCAGGAGTACAAGCGTTATGATAAGCAGACGTGACACTGTGTTTGTCATAGAACACGGAATGATAATCTCCTCTGTTTACTCAGGGCTCCAAGGTGATGGGAAAATTGAGGCATTCCAAGCCAGTTGCCGAGGCAACCAGGATATGATAATGTTGTTCTGACAAGAGAGAGAGAGAGAGAAAGAGAGAGAGAGAGGAAGAATGGAGTGCTGTTGTGTTCAGGGACAGAGCAGCCGGGGGAAGTGAATTAATGGGATAATTTTCACACTGTGAGGGTGGCAATCGTCCTGCTCCTTCATCTTCTCCTGGCCAACACATCCAAACCTTCATGAACACCAGCCGCCTCCATTTTACACGCATGGATCTCCATCCCTCAAAACAGGAGGGGAATATTACCTCATGACATGTGAATGATGATGTTGAAATTATCATAATTACACGATCTCAATATGGAGATTCTGGTAAAACACACAAAATGTGATAGTAAACATAGTGGTAAACACATGTACAGCAAAAATTGTGGTAATCTATCTATCTATCTATCTATCTATCTATCTATCTATCTATCTGTCTATCTATCTATCTATCTATCTATCTATCCATCCAGCATAGAGAGTTAAGCAAAATGATAATTGTAACATATATTATGTATGCACTTTTTATTTATTGTATATTTTATGTCGTAATTTAATATTTCTTTATATTTCTTAGATTTTCAGTCACATACCACATACCAACAACTTATGTTGAGATCACAAGAAAATTAAGTCTTGATAACTAAAAGTACTTTCATGTTGAGATCACAAGGAAATTAAATCGTGATAACGAGAAAATAACTTTTATGTCAAAATCAATGAGAATTAAGTCGTGATCGTGAGAAAACATAATTGTTATGTCGAGATCACAAAAATATTAAATTGTGATCACGCAAAAACATCTTTTGCTATGTTGAGATCATGAGAAAACTTTTATGATGAGATTACGGAAAAAATAAATCATGATAATAATAATAATAATAATTTTAATAATAATAATAATAATTCATTACATTTATATAGCGCTTTTCTAGGCACTCAAAGCGCTTTACATTGTCAGGGGGTATCTCCTCATCCACCACCAGTGTGCAGCATCCACCTGGATGATGCGACGGCAGCCATAGTGCGCCAGAATGCCCACCACACACCAGCTTATTGGTGGAGAGGAGACAGAGTGATGAAGCCAATCAGCAG